GTTGAGCACTCCACTCGCATCACTCTCAACTGGCAAGTACAGAAATCCTCCTTGCGGTTTTCCCGATGGGGTCATCGTCATCGCCTTTGCATGGCATGCCAAAGCTCTCATCTACTGCCCTCTTACACAGTCAGCAGCGTCCGACTCTTAGGGCGTGGTGCAGCCATTCCGAAAGCAAAAAATAAATCCGGACGGGATTTCGCAAACGTCCGGCTCGTATAAGATACAAAACACTGCGAGAGTGTCGAAATCAAAAGGTGTATCAAAGAGAAGGTCGGACCGCGAGGTGTAGCTTTGCTGGTGTGGACTAGCGGGTGAAGCAACGACGTTGACAAATTTTGCCGGGCGTTGCAAGCCGAAAATGGTTTCGCAAAATAAAAGTGTAGGAATTGGTGGGTTTCGTTTGGGTGATGCAATGTGTGCTCACCCTGTTTGGTTTCGTTTATGCCCCGCAAACTACAAGATTTTCTTGTTGATGGTGTTGACGCATCTTGACGCACTGTGCCCAACCTGCTCTCGGAAATCCGGACGCGGGCGTCCGGACCTGACGGGACGCAGTTCGGACATCCTGACCACCTATCTTCACGCAACTATTTCGCAAAGTCTCGCGAATGTTCACAAGCATCAGTCCGGAAGCATTCGGAGCCGATGCACCACGCCCTTACTTGCCGATCATACAGCCTCCAAAAAATCGGCTTCCAATCGTTTACTACATCGCGGAAAAGGAAGTAGGGAAAATTTGAGCACGGTTACTTTATCAACGGGAAGCTTCGGGGATATGTCGACCATCAACTCATTAACACCCGGGGGAAATGTCGCAAAAAAGCAGCGGAACAATAATAATTTTAGAGCAACTGCAAAACAATTGGCGCAACTTTACAAAAATGTCTCGCGCAACTTAGTTTCGCCAATTTTGCGTGTCGCGGATTGGACTCCCAAGTCGCACAGCAAAAAACCCGATTTTCGAATTTATATTTAATGTTTTGGTGCTATACTCATGTCACACGCGAAACTTGGTGAGTGTAAATATGGTGTACACATCACATGGCTTGTAACGATGTGACATACCCGGGGATCAGCTATGGTATTTCTATAAAATGTCAATTGTTACCACCGGGGGATGAGTCGAATTGAATCATTCGCACAAACGAAACTTGTTAAGCAGCTTCACTCGCTTGTTTGTGAACGAGCGGCAGACATAAACGACGCGCTTCAGGGCGCCAAGCTCAACCATGTCGTCTGTGTTGCGAACTCTTTCAGGCTTGAGCTGGTGGCATGTGGTAAGGGGGAAGATGCCGGCATCCTTGTACCACTTGACAAAGGCGTACGCGTCTTCGTGCCTATTCTTGTCCAGCGCCCTGAAAATGCTAAGGCACCTTGCGTACCACTCCACCTCCCCTGAAGCACGGACTGCCATGTATGAGAACCAGTCCTCCCCCGGGGTCGCCTTAACGAAGGCGCCCTTTGCCACAAGAGCCCCACCCTTGGTGCGGGGGATTGCCACAGTAATGTGAACCTGCGGGGAAGGACATCTGTGGGTGGATAGGGGTGGGTGGACCATGCGTGTGGGATGATAATGGGAGAGGGGGAGGGGGGGGGGGGGGAGGGGGGGGAGGAGAGGGGACGGGTGTCGGAGAGGGGGGGGGGGCTGGGTAGCGGGCTAGAGGCCTAAATATAAAAGAGAACCACGGTCTCATGCAGCCAAGCATGCTGCCTAGAAGCCTTGGCTTGACACAACAGGAACTAGTGTGCACATGCGGTTGAATCCATGCTATCCACCTGGAAACGGTCGGCTTGCAGGCCCATGTCCTGCAGGTGCGCCGCGAGGTTGTCCACGTCTGATCCGAGCACGGCCTGGTACTTGCCGAGCAGCTCGTCCCTGACGTCACAAGGCTGCATGACCCAAAACTTCTTGGTCAAAACGTGCATTAGCAGCCGGATCGCCTGCATGACGGCAAGGGGTAGTGATAAAAAGGGGTGGGTGGACAACAACCAGGTCAGAACATGGAGCGTAAGCCCGCGGGGCATACAAGCTTTCAATAACATGACAAAGCGCGGAGGAACGCCCCATAAGCCAAATCCAGCGGAGTATGGCATCATCTGACTGATGCGGATGGTTTATGGGTGGTGTGGCCTACCAGCCCATTGTCCAAACACTATATGTGCAATCAACCCAGACGCAACGAACGGACTTACCTCCCTGAGCACTGTGACATATGTGTGGCCTCCCCTGATAGCTGCAGCAATCTCATGAGTTATCTCCTGTTGTATCTCCTCGCCCACTATCCGGCGTGGAATGTCTGCCCAATCGCCACCCATTGCACGAACGTTGAACGCCATGCTTACCTCAATGGGGTGCGTGGACCACTTGGACTGCAGCGCAGGGCACCCTTCGGCGAGCTTTCCGCATGGATGGCAGCGACAACGCAGCGCTGCCTTGTCACTGTCCGATGAGGGGCCCGATGCGTAAGGTCCGACAGATGTCGATCTTTGATGTAGCAGATGGAGCTTTGCCAATGCGAGCCCTGCTGCATCGTCCCCGACACCCTGCAACTCTCAGGGCAGTCGCCTATGTATGCATGGGTATGCCTTCTTGTCCCGCCCATTTGCATCCGTCATGAAAAAAGACTGAAGGGGTCCGCTGCCATTATGTCGGGCGGTTTGGGTTAGGGGTTAATAGGTGTGGAGGTATTGAATTTTTGGTTGCAGCCAAGGCGGAATGCAAATGTGACACACTAACGGAAAAGATGACATCCGGACTAACCTTCTAGAGTCTCTCATAAGAGGCATGTGCACTACATGCATCGCCTACTGAAACGCCCTCGCCTTCTATGTAGCCGAGGCCCAATCTGGCGGGAACGGAAGAACCGCCACGAGGTCGCGCCCGGGCTCACACCACCGTAGCTCTTCGAGGATGTTCACCAGTGAGATCAGCATCTGCCATGCCAGACGCCGCCCCGTTGGAGACGCGTGCGTGCCGTCGCTGTACACGATGATGCCAAGGACCAGGCCATCGAGCTCAGGAATCGACACTTCTGGGTGCACAACATACTGGCATGGTTGTTGAGCTACAGCCGCCACCAATGATAGCGAAATATTTAGCAGTGTCATACTTGTCTCGCTGCATTTCGGGGAATGTCAGTGATGGTGACGCCAGCTGCAGATGGGGGGCCTGATGTGAGGATTCGGGTACGTCCATGCTGGATTTAGGAGGCCCGGATAAGCCATATCAGCACGAACGGGATAGCATCGAGTGGATCGAGCCCAAGCGCATGCCTTGTCTCCGCGTACTCGCGGTGGTGATGCTGGGAGGCGCTGCATCTACCCCTGCCAAGGAATGCGCTGAGGCACGCAAGCAACTCGTATGCGCCATCCTTCCCTTATCGGCTGCTATGACGACAAATGCTATGGCCGGGCGCTTCGCTATGAAGTGTCCGCACCTGCGGTATAACATGGGACGGTAGTTGTCACGCCTAGCCCTGGGTCTACGAGCCATTGATCCGAGAGTCGACCAAAAGGAATTTGGTGATTCAATTTGTAGACCAGGGGTTTTTGCTGTGTATGGTCTATGCGAGGGCACCGTTTTTGGACGCCAGCCTGCTTATGTGTACTGCCATGAATGCCACGTAGGCAACGGATAAGGATTCGGGTGGTGGGGTCAGTACACTCATTGGCGGGTGTAACATAAGAGAGCTACGCGTGTCATGCATGCTGTGCAACTTCGCCAGTGTAACGTTTGGTCGGATTTTCAATCGAATCCCGAGCCGATGGGCGATGGTTGAGAGCAAGGCTAGTGTGCGCTCGGCAGCACCCCTGTATGTGGCAGGTCACGATGTCCGCCCATTCGCGAGATGTCGGCTGTCGCATTCACATTGCCCCGATCCAGCCCATTGTAACATGTCGTGCCCCCTGCAGTGTTCGCCTCATGTAACATGTCGCATACGTCTCATGGTTGAGGTGTTTTATTGCAATATATACTCCCATTGCATTTGATAATTCAAAACACCTGACCACAACATTATGACATGTGAATAGAACGCATCAAAATGGAAAGATGCCAAACAGCAAGAGACTAGCATCGTCAATGCACCTCAAAGTAGCTTCAGTCTTTACATGCTTGTAACGAGGGGTACCAGCCTGATATTAAGATTTGTTCGTATGCAGAGGGGAGGGGGAGCTTGCGGGGGAGAAGGCAGATGTGTTGCGGAAAGAAGTACTCTGGAGGGCGGAGGCGGAAGCCGAGGGGGAAAGCGGAGGGGCGGGGGAGGCGTGGGGGAAGGTAAAAGATGTGGAGGCAGAAGGAACTGAGGGGGGCGGGGGATATGAAGGGGAGGGGGAAGAGGCGGAGGGGGAAGGTCGATGGGTATCGGTAGGGGCTTAAATTGTGCAGCAGTCAGGTGCAAAAGTTGGGGAAGGGGAGGAAGAGGTGACTGTGGGGGAGTGGGGAGGGGTACAGGTGGGGAGAAGGGCGGAAGGGGGAAGGGGGAAGGGGGAAGGGGGAAGGGGGAAGGGAGAAGCAGGGAAGGGTGGCAGAGTGGATAGGATGCTGAGGGGGGGTTGGGGGAGAGGAACGATGTGGGGGGATCTGGCGGAATGGGGGAGAGGACGAGTGGTGGGTAGGGGAGGATGTGGAGGCGGAGATACTCTAATGCGAGGTATGATGACTTCCCTTAAGACGGTCACTTACAGTGCCTTACATGACAGATGCTTAGTAGGAAGGAGCTTCCCACGTGTGGATTCTTGCTGAAGGGAAAGGTCAGCGGCGGGGAGTGGGCGGGTGAAGCTCTACGAGCTTTGATGCCTTCGCTTAGGAATGGATGTTACAGGAGAGTTAAAAGAACAGAATTTGCAGGGAAGGGCTATAGGAAGAACTAATATTTGCAGGTGAGGCCACATGTTTGCTGTTATTGATAGTAGGGTTTTCCAGCCAGATAGGTAGTACCAGCAACTAATACAAACGGTGGTCAAGGAACTCATTGTAGTGTCTGCTGCTAGTATTCTGTACTCCGGCTAGACCAGAGCAGTATGCACGGGCTATATGGCACACATGCCTCCCACAGAAATCCGAAGGAGAATACCACATTACTAACAAGAAGCATAGCTAGCAAGGCACCCAACCCACGGCGCCAGACACAGCAAACGGCGGGGCTCACAAGCGAGCTTACTGCTTTGAGTCTATCAAAAAGTGAGCGAACGTATTTGTGGGTTACCAACTTTATCACAGAGGGCGTGGCACACCATGTACTGCAGATTTAGCACCTGACCCTCTTGAAGTTTCCAGGGCGCCAGGCGCAGGGCATGGCGGGAGCAAATTTATTAGTCGGCATCCCCTGGTCGTTGCACTGAGGGTACCTGCCTTCTGTCTCACACGCCCCATTACCGGGACACTGCAGCCCCAAAATCCGGTTGAACATGAACAACGGCCGAGCGTTGGTCCGATTCATCGCTAGAGTCACATCCAGTATAGCAGCGGAGTCGCAGCACCGCGGCAGTGGCTTGCACTGCTTCTGGCAGTTGCGGCACCAGAGGGCGCCTTTCTGTATCTTGTAGCACTGCGGGCTGTTGGTCCATTGAGTGAATGCGTTTCGTCCTCCGCCGAAGAGGCAGGCGAAGCGGATTGAGGAGTCGGCGGGAGAGCAGAAGACGTAGACTCCTGGAGGGTAGAGCTGCTCTGTTGAGCAGTCTAGGGCGTCGGCGGGTGTTTGGGAGAGGAGAGGGGGAGGGTAGGCGAGGAGGAATATTGTAGCGAGTAGGAGAGCCGGCTTGTAACGGAGATGGCCCATTTTGCTGAGTAGGTGTGCTGTTGGAAGGGCTAGCTGTAGGTTGGGGAGTTGTGCAAAAAGGGAAAGGAGAGGGAAGTGAGATCATAGTATCAGCAGGGGAAGGTATGACAGCTGTTTGATTGGTGGACTGAGGTATCCATATGCCATGGCGACAAAGAGGCACGACCAGATGTTATTGGTTTTTGTTTTTGATTTGTTGAAAGTAGAGTAATCTCAAACCTTGTACTACGAATGACATGGCGTTATTTTCTCGCGTAGGGTTTTGAACACTACAAGAGTAACGGGAAGGACCACGTGACAAACCATCTTGTTCAAATTAATGCCAACATTGGAAGAAGACACTTTATCATGCCAGAGGGACGGAAAAGAGCTTGAAGTCATTGGAGAGATCACGTTGATGCGCTGAAACGATTACCTTGAAACTAAGTACTACCTTCAAACGAGTATCTCTTGTCAGAGGATCGAAGTTGATGATGAGGTGCGGACGCCTTCTCGGATGAAACGAGTATCTCCTTGTCTGTTCCACGTTGTTGACAACTACTAGTAGTAGTATCAGTGGTTCTACTAGTATCAGTGGTTCTGGTCGCTAGGCACTGGCCCAGTGAACGTGCTGTCAGTCAGAGCTGGAGAAATTATCGCAGGAACAAACCTTGGCAACGCATTTCTTCCTTCAGTAGCGTCGCGGTCGCTTTTCTACTCTGGCTTTCCATGTCACGCAGCGAGCAAGAAACAAGATTAGCTGCAGATGATGCAGGTGTATGCACTAACAAGACTGCCAGAAATGCCAACTCAACGGGGTGGAATCAAGAAATGCCGAAAAATCGCTCTGATATCATGCGAAATGAGAAATTTTCCTGGAGCGGAAAGTGGAGCCGTGTGCCGAACTCCCCGCGGCTCGTCCCCCACGTGATCGAATCACGAAGAATTGGTTGTCGTTGATGTTACACGCTGGTTCCCTCGCTGCGCTGTGAAGCCCTTCGCAAATTTGCGTCATTGAGTCAGTGATGGACGCTGATGACAGGTCACCCCTGAGGCCACCGACAGTTGAAGTTGACGTGGCGATGGCCAAACTGGGAAATGCTACAACCAGCACAACAATTTATTGTAGACGCGTTTGAAAATGGTCAATTAATTTCTTGGCCTTAGCCACTAATCGATGCCCTTTATGAGCCTAGATAAGATGTGACATGCGGCTATCTAGCAAGCTATAATCATTTCTAGCACTCGAAAAACCCTCCACAGCGTGCATAGCAACCGAGTCCGCTCTTGACAGAAGGCATGGGGGATAAACTTGGTGCCTTTTGTGGAACGACCTACCATATTTGAGGCGCCTCCGAGAATGGTCCAAGTCCCCTTTCAAGGAGGCCCAATGGTTATGTGTGTCAGAGAACATAAGGCCTTATGCACACACTATAGGGATGCGTTATACATTGGCAAAAAATGCAGCCTACCCATTTGCCTAACGCCCAGTCCACCATGCACGCAACATGTGTTGCTTGATAACCAAGTCCCAAGCCCTAATTCAATTTCCTAGGGCACCTCGCATGATGCATGATGGTAGGCATGCCTATATTATATATTTGAGTCCACCACACACCCCCATGCATCCCGCTCTCCCTCTCCCCCCTCTTGACCACACCTCCCACATGTTTGCTTAGCTAATAGCCTCCCAAATTCAATAGCCCGAAGGGGGTGTTACCTAGGGGCTTGTTATTGCTAACCTCACTTCGGTAGTAGGCTCGTTCATTTCGCCACTATTTCGGATGACCCGAACAATTTTGCCACTCTATACACGTGTTCTATCGAATTCTTTCTCAGCCATTGATACCCCAAAACAAGGGAGCTGGGCCGCTTTTGGACCTGCCACAAGTTGGTTGCAGAGATGACTTGTTGCGAGCTGTTTGAAAGGGCATTGATTAAACATCATAGGCTCTTCAAACAAGGGATAAGAAGAAACACTTGTCAAGCGCCTCAAGAAGGGTACAAAACGATTTGATCATTAATCTTCCGGTGTTATGCAACAGACTGTCTTAAAGTTCCTAGGGCGCCATGAACAATGCATGGTGGGCTTAAAGGGAGGAAAAACATCACTCACATTTTTACACTGAGGGTATGGCTCATCCCTCTTGCACCTGCCATTTCCCGGGCACTTAAATGACATGACACGGCTGACCATCAATAATCGCGGGGGACTGTCAGAGTATGTAGCAAAGTACGCATCCTTTATAGCGGTGGAATCACAGCACCGCGGCAACGCCTTACACTGCTTCTGGCAGTCATTGCACCATATAGCATTCTTCTGTATCTTGTAACAAAGTGGCTTGGCACTGAGAGATGTGAAGTGATTGCCTCCCCTACCGTAGAGACAAGTAAAGCGAAAGGAGGGATCGGTTTCAGAGCAGAAGACATAGACCCCGGGGTCGACGATTTGCTCTTGATTGCATGAGAAGAATAGACCAGGAGTTGAGGAGACGAGAGGTGCAGTGTAGGCAAGGATGATGGTTGTAAACAATAGCAGATTTGGCTTGTAACGGAGATGGCCCATCATACTGTGTGGGTGTATAGTTGGAAGAGCTGGATCGTGGACAGCTCTGCATAGAAAATGGGAGAGGGACGGGATTTAAAGGTCGCTTACGTGCAGTAGAGTGTACCACTGAAGTGTATGATATGTTTCTTGGTATGATATTCCTGGCTAGGAATGATGGATGATAAGCGTAGGACAAGGAAACAAAAAATGGGCTAAGCAAGCAGTACATGCTGAATTGCTGAGTATAGAAACCAACCATCATTCAAAACGCCCATAGGCGTGTCCTAAGCCTACGTCGGAATGCGGTCGAGTGAGGTGAATTGCATTACGGAAGTATCAAATAACTCTGTAAACGGTTAGGATGGGCATTGGCAAAAACGAACGCTTATGACACACTCTCAGAATAGAAAGACGCTGATCAGGACGAAAGTTGGTATTTTATTGTCTAGGGATTAGTACGCTGCATCGGTAGTCGGATACGCATAAAAGATATCTGCATTTGAGCTGCTGAGAATGTGTGGAGGAAGTACTCGTTCTGAACCATCGCCTTCGCTCTGTAACTTTGGCTTCCATCCCTGCAGCTAGCAAGAATAGAACCCAGCAGCACGCACCAGGAGACAGCGCTAACTAGACCCAGTGGTGACTCAGCATCAGAAACGAGAAGAAAGGAAAAGAAAACGAAAGAAAATAAAAGACTATGATTCGATACCAAACCATTTCCATGGGAGCTGCAGAAATGTCATGCAGGAGACATGGGCGCACCATCAAACCCTGGAACGTGCACGCATTTCCTGGAGCAGAAATGTGGAGTCGCGTGCTGGATTCACAAGCCACGTTCGTCACGTGGTGGCTTCAAGGAAAAATTATTGATGTGCACGTTTCATGCTGGTTTCTTCGTCGTGCTGTGCAGCCTTTTGCGAATCGGCTTGGTTGTGCCAGCGGCAAACTCGGATGCCAAGTCACATGTTGAGAAAACGGATAGCTAACTCTGACGGGACGAATGCTGAACAACGAGACTGCAGACAATTGACTCGAAGGGACCGATATCTGCCATAAAGCGTACAGCAACATACATTGCATCATTTTCCAACACGACTAAAACAACACATTTCCTCACCTCTAAACAAAGCTCACACATCTGGCCAATATCTTGGACAGAGACTGCATTTAAAGTGTGCCTGCATAAGAGCAACACGAAAAATATGGCCACGTTAACCCTTGCGGGCATATCCCTATGACATGGGTTCAAGATCAGACTCACACAATATTACCGTGCGGTGTAAGTGCTAGGAATCGTGTTTAAGTAACGTACATGAGGGTGATTCTTAGTCTCGTGCGTAGGAATAGCACTGACACACTTCTCTAAACACAGTAGATGAACTCACTCCATGGTTCCATGAACCCGACAACCTTCTCAAACATGTAGCTAGAAGCCCAGCATGGAGCATTGAATTGAAGCCGTCCAGATTGAAATCAATGGACGACATCCGAGTTGGATAGCCCACTGTGTCAACTTATACATATTTGCATACGTAGCAGTTATAGGTTAGAAGGGTTCGTGCTCTTAGAGAGTACAACACCCAACCACATATTCCCCTATATCCGTCATTTCTAATCATTCCGCTACTCTGAGATGGTATCAGCTAGGCTAGGATTGAAGGAACTAGCTTAGAAGAGAAAGGATTGAATGGAGTAGGGAGCCAAGAGGCTCTATTTTACAAAACAAGGAGCAAGGAAGAGTTGGAAGGGAAGCTCTCCTATTGGCCATAAAATGGACCAATGGGAGAGGTTGCTTGTAGGGCAAGCAACCACAAAGTGTGGTGCTCTCCGATTGGCCACACTGTGGACCAATGGGAGAGGTTGCTTGGAAGGCAGGCAATCACAAAGTGTGGTGCTTGGTGATTGGTTGGTTCCTAGGACCAAGGACCATTTGGTTGGAATAGTGCCAACCAAATGTCTAGGACCAAATCCAATCTTGACCAACCCAAATGTGGGGTTGGTCAACCCAACCTACAACCCCCCAATAATTATAATGAATACACCTTCTAATCTAGGCATGCATGTTGTATAGATATATATTTTACAACAAGGTCCGCCCGCCCGTGCTTCCGCCCTAGCCCGCCCTAGTTGCCCTAGCCTGCGCCGCGCCCGCACAAGCCCGCGCCGCCTGTACCCTAGCTAGCCGTGCGGCTTCTTGCCCGCCGCTTGCCCCGCGTATGCCGGCCCTAGCTCTCCGGCCCCGCGTTCCCTGGCCCATTGCGTGTCGGCCCCCCTTGCTCACCGGCTCCACGCTCGCCGGCCCATCGCTAGTTGGCCCCTCGCTCGCGAGCCCCGCGCTCGTCGGCCCCGCACTTGCCGGCCCCGCGCTCGCCGGCCCAGTGCTCGCTGGCCCCTTGCTCGCTGGCCCCATGCTCGTCAGCCCTTGCTCGCCGGCCCCAGCTCCCGCTGGCCCCTGCTCGCCGGCCCCGCGCTCGTCGGCCCCGTGCTCGCCGGCCCCTGCTCGCCAGCCTCAGCTCCTGCCGACCCCGGATCGCCGGCCCCTGCTAGCCGGCCCCTGCTCGCCGACCCCGTGATCGCCGGCCCCAGCACCTGTCGGCCCCTGCTCGCCGACCCCAGTTCGCCCCGGCCCCAGCCTGCCGGCCTGAGTTTTTGCTGGCCCCTGCCGCCAGCCCACAGTCAGCCTCTGCTAGCCGAGCCGCATGCCCGGTTGCCGGCCCTAGCCTGCCGCGCCGCTCCAGCTCGTTGCGCCAAAGTGCCGCCCCGACCCGCCAGCCCCTCGTCGTCGCCTTCTCTGGTTCCATTATGAGCCGGCGCTTCTTCTGCCTGTCCTCTCCACCGCTCCCCACCGCTCTTCACCGACCTTGCCTCTACCCGTCCTCCTCCTCCTCTCGTGGTCGTCATTTGCTGCAGTTGTGGTGATGGCGGATGCGGTGCTCCGCCTGGATGCGGAGGGTTGGCCAGTCGATTTTGAGGCGTGGCTTGCCAACCTCCGTCGCCAGCTTAAGGGTCAGCGCTAGGATGGCCAGTCCCTGGCCGTCCATGTCGACGGTAAGCTCCCCTGCCCCAACCCGCCTGCTGCCCTCTTTGACGCCCCCACGTCCGCTGAGCGTTTGGCCTTTGCATGCTGCTGAGCTCGCCTACTCTGTCTGGGAGTCGCGTGATGCAGTTGCTCAGCTTGCTATCAG